GTACGTATGTACGTACGTTCGTATGTCAGCATTTTTTTCGTTTTCGATATCTCAAGAACGGATTGAGATATCGCCCTCAACCAAAATTTTTTCGAAAGATATTATCATAATGAAGATCTGAAAGAAATTTGAACGAAATCGGTCAAGCCGTTTTTTTTTTATAAAAAAAAAAACGAATTAATTACAAACAATTTAATTAAAATACGTTCTAATCTAATCACAACAATGAAGTTACGGAATCAATAATAACGAAATATCATTATTCAAGACAGGGAATAACATATTATAATAACATATTATAATAAAAATTTGTTTATAACAAAATGAATTGTTATAAACAATCGATAAACAATAAAAAATAGTATTTACCAATTGACTGATGCAAGTACTCTATCAATTCGGTTTTCTCAGACGAAATACTGTTTCTTATGGGTTTATAAAATGACGAACTCTCAAACATTGTTTGTTATTTATTATTGTGCCGCGTTTTTTTCAAACTTTAGAAACGAATGTACTTTACAATAACTGTATTATCTAATGGGAAGTTAGTCGTATTAGCACCGACCAAAATGTGCTCAGACCAATTTTTTTTCATTTTTATTAATTTTGATATAATAATGAAATTACATATTTTGGTTTCTTTAGGTTCAGATGGTAAACAATATACAAAAAATAAGGAAGGCATTTTGGTTTGAAAAATTTTTCTGGTTTATTAGTTCCGAAAACTTTTTAGTAATTGGAGGAAGAGATCAGCAACAGAACGAGCTAATAGTTAAAAGGTGATTATAATAAAACATTTGATAGTTGTAATTTAATAATTGTTTTTTTTTTTAATTATAAATACTTTAAAATGTTTCGTTTTTATAATATATTCTTATTTGTTTATCGGGTTTGGTTTCAGTAAAATAATTCATTGTTTCTTTCAGAATAAGATAATAGGTCACTGAATTTATGTTTAAGGTACTTGAAGCCAAAAGATGTATATGTGCATGCAGATATTCATGGAGCAAGCAGTATTGTAGTTAAGAATCCTAGTGGTCAGGTAATTTCTCCTAAAACGCTGATTGAAGCTGGAACTGCTGCTATATGTTACAGGTAATTAATTATATGCAAGGCTAAATTATTTTGATAATTTGCAATAGATAATCAAGAAAATGTTAATTTATCATTGAGTAGTAAGTCGAATATCTACGCACCGTTGTAGTAGCAGGCTAATGGCTGAATGAGCAGTCCATCTTGGAATTTTTGAAAAGAGGGTTCTACGTAAATAGGAAATATTTTATTCATTTGTTGAATTAAAACAATTTGTCAAATAATATGTAGAAAAACTTAGTAACAAACTCCAATAGTTAATAAGTAAGAGTAAGGTAAGAGTAACAAGAAGTGAATATGTAGTAGTTGTAGCAGTAAATATATAATAGGTTTTACATTGAAACCTGGCATCACGTTACAATGTATTTTAAAATCAATTTCGATTCTGAAAAAGTATAATTAAATTGCAATTATTTTTATGGTAGGTACCGAATAAAATCTATTGTTTACATTAAGCAAATTTATACAGGGTGTTTCTGAAATAAAAAGGGGTTAACTACTAGCCGTAAAGAATCGCATGGTGAGTATAGCAGCGTAGTTAAGGAAAAAGCTTTTTTATGAGAACCACAACAGTTAATAATCTAAAGGCGGAAGTGTGCGCAAATTGGTAACGTAGGTGTATATCTGTAGCGATAAAAACTCATTAGCTGCATCAATAAAGAATGAAATCATCAACAACTACTACAAATAATGTTTAGACACGCCCCTTACAATACAAATAAAAAAATATCAACAATTGTTTATAGTTGATAATGTGCAGCATTAATTAATTTACACATCAATATGTAAGTATTATGAACGCATAGTAGAATGAAGATTCGAGCTATAGGGCCGTGGTCTAGGTGAACTATTCTGCCCAGACGTTTCATCAGCTACTGCGGCTGACATCCTCAGTGGTAGTGCTGCGTTGACAACGTTTGGGCAGAATAGTTCACCTAGACCACGGCCCTATAGCCCGAATCTTCATTCTACTATGGATTCCGCCCGTGAAAGCATTTGTTCTTATATTATGAACGCAATTCAGTACATTACCAGAAGTTGTTGACATCACGAAGAATGCGCGACATGCGGATTTACGTCACATCTGTTGTGACGATTATGAAATTATTATTAATAATGAGGGCATGCTGAATACAAAATTTCAAGATAAGGGTATGTTTGATTTCCGTGATGTGAGCAAGTGAAGTTGTGTTTTCTACCACATCATCCAGGTCCTTGTCCATCATGACCGCAAAGACTGCTTCAATATTAAGGGGGTGACGATTTGAGCAGATTGACCGAAGCAAGTTTTCCGGGGTGGAGTTTTCTGCTAGCCTGTGTCCCAACCTCCAATCTCTAGGCTCGTGGAGTTGTTTTGTACGCGCTTCTTGGGAAACACTAAACTGATGAATGAGTTTTGCTCTGATAAAGGCATCAGGTTCAGTCGTCGGAATGTTGACAATGATTCCACATACTACCGTCACGTAACGAGGATCGAAGTTACCTAACACTTTAGGTGTCAACATTGCGGCTGGCCTGGGCGACTTTTTTTCATGCTGGGCTCCGCACTGTTGTGCTGTACTGATTCGGCGGTTGATGAAGCTTTGACGGCGGTGTGGACAACAGTTCATCCTAAGCTGGTAATATGTTGTGGTTATGCGTAAATGTCTCTGATTTAGTTCATTATAGTGTGTCGCGTTTTATTTTTAATTAATTATATGTAGTTTTTACATTTGAAATATTATCTCTTCAGAGTACTCCCACACTTGTACAAGAACGGTAGACGAACTGAAAAATTCGTTAGAATTATATAAAAGGAAACTTTAACTTTGACATAAACCCAAATACAAGGAGAGGAACCGTTTCCTTTATTTAACATGGGCTTGATTTTGTCATGCAAAGAAATACAGAAATCACAATAAATTGACTTGGTCGTAGGAATGAATAAAAGCATCGTTTAAATGGCAGCATAGTTAAATGCGGGTTGTAGAAAAGGATGCTCAAAATGCCAAAAAATATAATATTTATCAAGCAAAACAATATATGTTTCAGCTTTTTTTTCTTTTGTGTTCTTAATACCAAGTCGAAGTATATTTTAAATAATTCTTCGTATTAGTGATGTCAGTATTGTAACTACCAAGTACAATGCACCCGTTTACGACTATGGCGTGCGGTCTCGCCAACAAACATGTAGGGGTAGATACAATACACTTCGTTTAGTTTCTCTAGCTATGTAACCTTTACTTTGACCGGCGCAAAATAGAAAAGAACAGCACTAGACCAGAAAAGAAAGGATACAACTTTCGGCTAAACTCTCAACCGGCGAGGAGCACATAATCCGTACAGTACTGCACGGAAAAATTAAACATTTTATCAATTAAAATTGGATGGTTCGAATATACTGAAAAGTAACGACACTTGATATCACTACTGTTTTTCTTTTATCGCAATGAATATCTAAACATTATGTGTAGTAGCGTAAAAGTAAGCTGTTAATATTTACTTTATTAGTCGTTCTACTTTACCATGCTGAATTACTCTCATGCAGTCCGCTTTTGCATCTAGTTAACGTTCTACAAAACTTGCTAGTTATTTCAGAAACACCCTGTTTGTCGGAAATAACATGAGAATTCATAACTATCCATATTAATAAAAATAATAGAATACTTTTATATAATAGAGAATAACGATAAGTTTGTGCCAAATCGAAACGAATACACGGATTATTAATTTTAATTCATTAAATTATTATATCTTTAAAAAGTACACCCTGTCAGTTACACAACCTTTTTCTTCAAATTCCTTAAATTTATAATATTAACAGAACAGTTTGTGTCTACATTCGGTTGAAACATAATATTGTACCCTTTGAACCCAACCAGTATTTCAAAATAGGGCTTAATCAATTTTAAAACGGACTAATTACTAGACGTAAACATAATTCATTCCTTTTGATGTTACCATGAATAAAAATACGCTAACATGTACATTCACGGTTATTCTGACAAATCGCACGTCCTCATGTGTGCAAACTATTATTTCAACTGCAGTACCTTTATGACAACTTGTCAATTTTAAATCAGTATACTATAATTTAAACCACAACGCTTTGAAGAAACTCGGATGTATATTTCTCCCACTTGATGATGAGCATTTTCAGTGTTATATAAATAGTAAACTTGATGGTCTTATTTAGAGTATTTTTGTAATTCTTGTTCTAATATAGTTTTAAAAGGATTACATGCCTTAAGTACTTAAAATTCATTATTATTGATAATCATGATTTTCTGTTCATTTTAAATTGACTATACGTACATCGTTTGACTTTATTGCTTTTTAGTGTTGCTTGGGATGCAAAAGTTGTTCCGAACGCATATTGGGTTTGGGGAGAACAAGTAAGTAAGACAGCTCCCACAGGAGAATATCTCTCTACTGGTAGTTTCATGGTTAGGGGAAAGAAGAACTTTTTACCGCCGTTAAATTTCATACTTGGTTTTGGAATATTGTTTCGTGTTGAAGAAAATTGTATTGAAAAGCATAAAGGAGAAAGGAAACCTATTACAAGCGAAGCAGATTTGACAGAAATAAATACTAATGCTACTTTAGAAGAAATAGTACAAGAAGAGAATAATTTCGATAAAAGTGATGGGGAAGGTAAAGTTATTTGTTTTACATTGAACTTATAAGAAATATTCAGCATACATGTTTATACGAGGTTTTCCAAAATTAATTAAGAACGTGAGGTGTCACATGTGAATTAATAGTAAGATTGAATATAGCGGAAGTTTTGAAAAGTGTTATCCAGAAAGGGGAAAACAATTTAGCTCATTAAGTTACACTTGACACCTTGACAGATTATTTTGAAGGGGGATTCCTAGGATCTCCAAGATTACGTTGCAATTAGTAGCGGTATGTAAATATTTCTTATAAATCTGATCAGGGAATAATATAAGAAATTAATGCATAAAATGGACTCATATTAACGTTTAGCTGCAATTATAAAGCATAGTGCAGTGTCCTTAACTCCATCTGTAAGTGTTTGTACCACCAGTTGATCTTTGAACTCTTGAGGTGCAGAGGGGTAGGTAATCTCACGAGGCGCTTCACATCATACTCAAATTTTTAAAGGGTCTGGGTATTTCTATACTTTCGGCTTTTCAATTGCGTCTGATGAACCTGCTGTACAGATGGTAGAAGTCATATTGTCAATCGATTCTGATGTCATTTATCTTTTCCTCGATTCTCGTATTTATTGCTTCGTGTATGTTCTTTATTTCTGTTTTCATATCATCCTGTCCCATTTTCATGTCTTGTACTGATTTCAATTCTGGCTTCATTTCTTCCTGACCCTTTCTCTTTTCTTCTTATATCTCTTCTATTTTCTGTTTCATTTCTTCTTGTCCTTTTTCCACTTTTGTGTCATTTGTGTCATCATTTCATTAACGCTATTATTTGCTCCTCCATTTTTGCTTCGGTAGCTCTGATCGTTACAAGTATCCAATATCTCGATTTCATCTAGAAATTTTAATGAAAATCTTTGATTTTAGTAAAATCGTTCTTCTTTCTTCTCCAGCTTCCCAATGATGTATGACTTGCTAGGGTTATTCGCGATCCGTGGAAACTTCCAGAAAATTCCATGAAATTCTTCGATGAAGTCGAATTCGTTCTTCTTTCTTCAAGAGCTTCCCAACGATATATGACTTGTTAGAGTTACTCATAGTCATTGGAAACTTCCAGAAAGTTGTATAAAATTGTCAAATGACGTCAGATTATCTCTTCTCTCTTCGAGAGCTATCCAACGATATATCACTTGATGATTGAATTCTTCAAAATCTTCCTCTTTCTCCAATACTCATCAGTCTTCTTTTACCCTACCCGACACCAAATACACGTATTTAAACAACTCCCTCACTATTACTACATTTATTTACTTAACAATTTGCTTTTTGTAATTAACACTATTATTAATTTATCATTATTTCAGTATGTCACACACTTTGTCACTTCTTCGCTCTTTCTACTCCGCTTTGTATCGCCTCAAGCAGATACTGCTTAGACTACTATTTTTTCTCCCTTTTCTACAGTTAGCCTTCAAATGACCACACTTGCTACAATTGGTTACTGTTTTTTCTTTAGTAAAACTATTTTGTAAATTTAAAAGATCTAAAATAGTTTCTTATTCACTATTAAATGCCGCGGTTTTGTCGGTCGGGTGCTACAAAAGATACCAGTCCCTAACTTCCCCTTGTAGTGCGCTGTCAGTCCATCCATAAGTTGTTGCCAATTTTTCAATTTCTTGGCACCACTCAAGAGCGTCTCTCATCAAAATCGGCGGGAATGTTTATTGAAATTAATGGACCAAGAACGAGTAAAGGTCGCGACTAGTGTTCTTGCATTTCGCGTAACACAATTGTCAGCACTCCATCTGTTTTTGTCTTTTGTTTTCATTCGGCACTTAGGTACTTGTCTACATCATATTTTTTTTTTAATTTCACAATTATTTTTTTGGTTAATAGTAAAAATGGGAGACTCCCACTCCTGATATTAACTTTTAAAATAAACAAAGACATTATTACTACTATTCTCTAATCATACGAAGCGACAATTATTAAAAAACAAAAGAGCAATCATCGACTTGTGTCTAATGAATGAATAATCTCGTAACTATCATCATAAGGTCATCAGTCCTTAGACTGGTTGGACACGTACCTCCACTCTTTCCTATCCTGAGCTAAACTTCGCATTTCCCTAAAACTAGAACAGCCCACATCCTTAACTATTTGCGAACAGTAATCTAATCTAGGTCTACNATATGGGGTACCTACAGTAGCAATAATATGAGAAAAGAAGCAGGGGTCATTTTGATAGAAAATGAGGAAAAGGCAGGTAGGTGGAAAGAATATTTAGAGAACCTATATGCAGGTTATGAGTTAGGAGATATATTAGAGCAGAAAGATAGTGTGGAGATAGGTGAGCTAGGTTATCCCATAATGAGAGAAGAGTTCGATGTAGTATTAAAAAATTTAAAGAGTAATAAGGCGCCAATTATAGATGGGATACAGGCGGAAATTGTAAAACATGCAGTACAAGAGGTTAAAGGTCGTATGTTTAAGCTAGTTGGTCACATTTACAAGACAGGAAAGTCTCAAAGGATTATAAACGGAACGTGGTGGTAACCATATTTAAAAAAAAAGCGCGGATAGGTGCAGTTCATCTAGAACAATTAGCTTAACTTCCGATGCGTCAAAAATCTTAACTAGAATTGTACAGAGGAGGATAGAAAAAAAGGCGGAAGAACTATTAGGGGAAGATCAATTTGGGTTTAAAAGAAATAGAGGAACGCGGGAGGTCATTCTAGCTTTACGGATAACAATAGAGAAAACGATAGAAAAAGAAAAGAGTGCGTACATAAGATTTGTAAATTTAAAAAGATTTTGACAATGTTAAATGGGACAAGACGTTAAATATACTTAAAAAGACGGTACAACTGTATGGATAGATATATTTAGGCAAAAGATTAGTGTGCTTAGATTTGCAGATGATATAGCAGTATAAGCATCTAGCAAGGAGATTTTATATAAAATGGAAGCGGTATTTACAAAACAGTATTGTATGAAAATAGTAAATAAAAGTAAAACAGCAATACTGGTATGCAGGGGAAGAAAAAGTAAGGAAAGAGTGAACATAAAGATAGAAGACAAAAAATTAGAGGAAGTGGCTGATTTTAGTTATCTAGGAAGTCAGATAAGTCATAACGGAAAGAGTAGTAGAAATATAAAGCATAGGGTCGAGTCGCCTTCAATAAAAGCAAGTCAGTACTATGCTCGCGAACGATTAATTTAGAAATTTGAAAATGTTTTTAAAGGTGTATGTTTGGGGCATGCGCTGTATGGGTGCGAAACATGGACAGTGGGCGCGGCGGAAAAGAAAAGGTTAGAAGCGTTCGAAATGTGGTGTTCGACGATCCACCCACTCTATTTTGTACAAGAGTTTCGTCAAGGTTCAAGTACCGTCGGATCGGAGAGAAGGTTAGAAATGAAGAAGTATTAGAAAGAGTAAGAGAACAGAACTCTATGAAAGTCAATAAGAAATAAGCGAGATAGGTTAGTAGGACACCTCCAGGCATGAGACATATTAGAGACAGAAACTGAAGTTACTACTGAAGTTAAACTGATTAGGTGACTGTTCGCAAATAGTTAGGGATATGGGTTGTTATTTTATTATTAGCTTAGGATAGGAAGGAGTGGTGGTGCGTGTCCAGCCAGTCTGAAGACTGACGACCTTATGATGATGATGAGAGAAAAACAAGAAAGAAATACTTATTTGCACATGATACGAAATAAATACTATTATTGCAATGAGATCCGCCGTTTATTCTTCGTAATTAAACGTTATTTTGCTGTTCGCAACCAATTTCTTATTTCTTCTTCTAAATCATTAGTTGGACAATTTAAAGATGCTGCATTTAGTCCAGCAATATCTGCAGAATAGAATCATATTGTTTTTAAAAAAATATTAGTAACCCATGATTAATAATATCTTACTTGATATTTTTATGGTTTTCTTAAAGAAATAAAAATTTTAGTCGTAAACTCTTCGGAAAATCCTACATTCAGCTGGCGACCAGATAACGTACCAATAATGGCTATCACTTTATAATTGACTAATGTAATTAATATTACATATATATAGGCAACCTTACATACAACATCCATAGTGGCAAAGAAGATCAGGTTTCTAGAGTTTTAATTAGACAGAAAATAGTAGTAATGCAAGTAGTAATAGCCTGAGAAGGTGTTTAAATACATGATAATATTAATCGACTGGTAATGGACTTTGAAATGTTACCACGTTACCGCTGTTGCAACTTACGATTTAACGACGCAACGGGCAAAAGCAAATATTTTAACACCTTTTTATAAAACGAGGATATGTATTAGTATGTCCTCAGGTCAATCCCTTAAGGAAATTGGACATGATGGACGCAATAGGGACGTAATCGTACATGCGTAAGATATTGTATGCTGTGTGGGACATACCAACTTGTTAACTTCCCATTAGGAAGTTATTGTAATTGGGTCGAAAAGTGAAATCGGAATTTTCATTATATTTCCACGTTTTAACATATTAGTAGCATGCTAGCCAATTTTTTTGATGATGTGTGTATGTACGTACGTACGTACGTACGTACGTACGT